TGCCCATCTCTTGGACTTGTCCACCTGCATGGTGGTCGCACAAACTTTTTTGTCAACAACAGTGGCTTTGCCTACGCAAAACCCTTGCCCTGTCATGTGGCTGATGGTGATTCTGCGAGAAGGTGACTCACTGCGACACTGGACTGGGGCTTCTGCATTAACCCACAATGGCCAGTTATTAAGTGCCACAGCCTCATAGTAAGGGGGCTGTGTGTCATAACACAGCCAGCAGGATTCTGTGGCATTAGGGTTGGATTGATTCAGAGGTAAAAAGGTGGCATCTAACATTCGATAGAGTGAATCAAAAGCAGCGGCTTCAGATCTTTGGGGAGAAGCTTCTTGCTTATGCAGGGGGTACAGACTATTAGATCGTGGGTTCTCAGCTTGTACTACAAGGTTGGGGCCAACTGCTTCAGGTGCTATAACTGGGAGCTGGATAATTTGTACTACTTCACCGGGATTTTTACCAGGTTTGTGCAAGAATACCGACCACATTCTTCCAGTGGTCCAGCCCACATGTGCTGGCTGCAGAACTTGCACGACCATTTGATGACAGACTTTAGATTGATCATCATAAAAGCCATAAAACACTTGCCCTATAGAGTTAAAACTGGGACGCATACAGCCTGCTGGACCCCAGTTTACCTGCAGAAACTCGTCTGCTTTTGGTGGTGCCCACCTGTTACTCAGGACTATTTTTCACATCCCCAATAGCCACAAAACCAATACCCTGGTTGGCAGCAATAATCTTTGCCTGGGTTAGTGGCTGGGCACCAGTATGACTGGTACTGCTCAAACCGAGGGTAGATGTTATGAGTTACTATACCAGGGAAAATGTCTCGGATGAGCACAGAGAACCTTGGGGTGCCTGCCGTGACTACCTCTTTGATCACTTCGTTCGAGGCACGGCGTAAGATCCACCTGAATGGTTGATGGGGGTTAGATTCTGCACTAACCTGCTCGCTGTTAACAAGTGCTAAAAACAAGATTACACACAAAAGTTGTTGTCGCTTGGGTTTCACAGGCTCAGGAGTTTTGGGCGTCTTCGGGTTGTCTGGTGGTTCATTGCGTCCTTCTGGCAGTGGAGCATATGCATCACGCAGGCGCCCAATGATCAGGTCCTGCAAACAAAACTTCAGAGTTCTTGTCAGTTTCATTTTTAAGGTCTGGTTTTATTGACTTAAGTGGACACCACTTCACTTTACCATCTCTCTTCACTGCAGCGTACCCTCGCCCTGTGAGCACTAATCTCCAACCTTGCTCCCACTCCCCTAACTCATTTCTGATTATGATCTGCGGGCCCTCTTCTAGAGCTCGAGTGGCCCAGTGTTTTTGGGAGAGACTGTTTGTTTCATCTCCCCTAGGGAATTGGTTCAGTGCTAACAGTGCAGTTGCTAGCAAGCGCGCCTGGTCTGTTTGGGGAATGGAATTGTTTAAAGCTTTCTGACTTTGCTAACACTTCTAGCTTGGCTTTCAAAGTTTGGTTTGCTCGCTCAACGATGGCTTGTGCTGTGCTATTGTACGGGATGCCTTGCACTAGAGTGATACCCCATTTGGAGGCGAATTCCTGGCTTGGCTTTGAGATAAAATTTGCACCATTGTCCATTTTGATTTGCTTGGGAATGCCGAGCCAAGCCATGGCTGTTAGCCAATGCTGGATAGTTGCTTTGGAGTTGGTTTTCAGGTGCTGCGTGGCTACAATTACTCCGCTGTACATATCCACTGTTACTGCAAGCCATGCTTGGGGTTTTAACAGCTGGCACAATGTAAAGTCTGTTTGCCATATCTCTGAGGCTTTTAGGCCTCTGGGGTTGATTCCACAGGACCACAGTGGTGCCTTTTGGTAGTGAGGGCAGGAAGCTACTACGTGTTTTGCATCAGCAACTGAGATTTCACATCTCTTTGCTAGTGCTTTGTCTCCGATGTGCAGGGTTTCGTGTAGCTGATGAGCTTCTTGTAGGGTCCACAATCCTTTTGCAGCAGCATCTGCTTTATCGTTGCTGACTTGGAAGAACCCTTTGATCGGATTGTGGCTGTTAACATGGATGACCGATATGGTGCCTTTTCGAGAGGAGAGCGCTTCTTCTAGCATTAGAGCTGCTGTAGACATTGATATGCCGGGTCCTGACATAGCCAGGCAAAGCTTGGCTACAAACATTGAATCAGTTACAATGTTAAGATGCTCTGTTGGGAACAGTCTGCATGCCAGTACTACAGCTGCTACTTCCAGTTGCTGGACTGAGAGTGTACAATCAGTTGCTTTGACGCAGTGCCACTCGTCCTCTGATTGCCACACCGCAGCCACAGTGGAGGTTGTCGAGGATGCATCTGTGAAGACTGTTGGTCCTGGCTGGGGCTGGTCTATGACCTTTTGTGGTAGGTCTATGTCGACAACAGCCAGCATCTGAGTCCAAGGGCGCTTTGCAGAATACTGAATCTCTCTGCTGAACCCTACTAGGGCTGTTGCCAGGTATTCTGACATCACTGTTGACTGTGTAGAGAGTTGCTTGCGGAAAGGCAAGAATATTCTGGCTGGCTCAACACCAAGATGTTTCAGGGCAAGTTTTCTGCCCTTCATAATGAGGCTGCTGAGATACTCAGCTCCTGGGGAAAATGCACATGTCTGTTTTCCCAGGACTATCCACTGTATTGGATGAGCTTTTTCTGGGGGGCCTTGAGCCAGTGCTCCTACTCCCCCTCCCTTTGTGAAGTGCACGTACAGATCGAGTGGTACCTGGGGCTTCCACCTGGCAAGGGAACTTAAAGATACCTGCTGTTCGATAAAGTCGAGAGAGTCCATTGCTTCTGCTGTCAGGGCTTTGTGTTCCCATGGATTTTTCCCTCTCAGGAGATCATACAGGGGGTCATCTTCTCAGGTGGGATTAGGACGATGTTGCGGAGCCATTGCAGGGATCCCACCAGCTGCTGCACGTCATGGAGCGTTTTGATGTCCCGACAGATCTTTATCTGGGGAGGGGATATGTAAGAGTGTCTGATCCCCACCCCCAAAAAGGTTACACATGGCCCCTTTTTTATTTTTGCACTCGCGATTTCAAAGCCATTTGCTTTTAGAGTCTCTGTGATTGCTGATACTAACTGGTCTACCTGACCTCCCGAGGGTGCGGCAGTCAAGATGTCGTCCACGTACTGGATGATGGTAGCAGTCGAGTTGCTATGACGGATAGGTGCCAGCGCTCGGTTGACTGTGATTTGGCAGATTGTAGGTGAGTTGACCATCCCCTGAGGCAGCACTTTTCACTGGAAGCGTAGGTTGGGGCGCTGGCTGTTTGGAAACACCACAGAGAAAGCAAACCACTCCCTGTCTTCTTCATGTAAGGGTATAGAAAAGAAACAGTCTTTGATATCAAGAACAGCACAGGGTTGGCCTTCCGGCACCATAGAGTTCATAGGTAACAATGTTTGAACAGGTCCCATGGGTTGAATTTTCTTATTCACTTCACGTAAATCGTGGAGGAGGCGAAACCCTTCTCTGGTTCGCTTAGGGATTACAAAAACAGGAGTATTCCACGGGCTAGTAGATGGCTCTATGTGACCTTGTTGTAATTCACGGTTAACGGTTAACTAACTCAAGAAGGGCATCTAATCTTGGACAGGGGCCACTGCTCGACCCACACTGGGTCAGATGATTTCCAAGAAAGCCTGATTGGCGGCAGCGGGTACGCAGCAGTGGCCCTTAGGGTAAATTTGTCACCCTGGCTTTTAGCAAGGCAAGGGCGTCTCTCCCCAGCAATGCTGGGATTCCTGTCATGACATACGGGAAGAGGGCAATAGCTTTTTCTGGCCCTCCTTCTGTGTGGAGTGTAATGGCTATTAGCTGTGCACTTCTCCGAGCCCGTGACAACCCTCCAACCCCACCCACCATGGGGGCATCCTCTAGTTTCCAGAGAGGAGGCCAATTTGTTTCCGGAATGACTGTGACATCTGCCCCAGTATCAATTAGAAAAGGAACACTGATGGACCCAGAGGGGATACTTTGATCACCTGAGGTGTCATAAAGAGTGCAGATCCCCCATACGACCGGCAGGTTGTCACACCTTACTGCCAGGGCCACCCTGGGGTCCTGTCCCCCAAATGTGATCCCTGCTGTCCCTGAGGCAGATAAGGCAGGGTTGGCTGAATCACTGGCTGAGTTATGAAAGTGGTTGCCTCTCGGGGGGTAATGGGTTCGGGAGCAGCTCGGTTCTTGCAGGATTGGCATAGCTGGGCTGCCTCGCATCCCAAGTGGGAGAGAACTGGATGCGGCCCTGCTGTCCTCTCCCCCTCCCATTTCCCTGAGCCTTGGATCTGCATTCTCTGGCAAGGTGCCCCCTTTTCCCACAAGCCCAGCATAGTCCTTTAAACTGGTTCTGCTGTGAGGTGGGCGCTGCCAGGGCCCCCCCCCTTTTTGCAATTTGCAGCAGCGTGACCTGCCTGACCGCATTTGAAACACGTCATCACGTTAGCAACTGCTGTGCAGATTGCAGTTTGAATCGGAACTGCCTGTTCTTCCCTCGCGACATGCTTAATCATTTCTGCGATACTTGCCCCTGCCAGTAGTGATCGAAGGATTTCCTTGGTTGTCGAATTGCATTGCTGTCGTAAGCAGTCTGCCAGGACTGGGCCTTTTGCCTCTGGGGGCAGGGCAGAGGAGTCAACAGCTGCCTGAAGGCGGTCTACAAATCGTGTAAAGCTCTCACTTTCTTTCTGCTTTATTGTAGCCCACGGTGCTGGCTTAGCAACTACTCTAGAGGCCGAGTAAATAGCTTCTCTGGCCGCACGAGTGGTTGTCATAACTTCATGGGCTCGCATACCCTGGGCTTGTGCCTGAGGTGTAGCCATGGCTGGGTCTGTGCCCATTAACCGTGGCAGGCTGGAACCATGTAGTGGATGGTCTGCCCCATTTAATTGGGCTAGGTATCTGGCACAGTTATCTTCCCACTCTTGTTTAAAAACAATCATTCCTGCTCCATCAAAAAACATTCTGCAAGTGTGTTTTATATCAAAAGGGAGCAGGTCATCACCTCCAAAAAGACCATCGATAAGGGAGGTGACCATGGCTGAATTAAGCCCTTTTTCTGAAACTGCTTTAACAATCGTTTTAACTTCTTTAGGATTTATTGGTGAGTAAACCCTCTGCCCCCCCTCAGACACCCTGACTGGGAATACTAACGCGTCTGGAAGAACCCAGGTGGCACATTCTGCTCTTATCTGTCCCCAGTCTGTGAGAGGGGTGTCCTCTCTCAGTTCTTTTTTAATGTGGGGGGCGGGTGTTCTTGTTTATCTTTATTGTTTCCTCTTCTGAGGACTCGAGCTCTGAGCATTCATCACTAGTATCTCTGTCGGAGTCAGAGCTCGACTGGCTGGCTATTTCCTGTTTCCCGTGCCTTTTTTGTTGGGCTTCAGCCCTGCCTACCAACCCTGTGGGCTGGCCATTCCCTCCCCCCTGGTTCCACTCTGCCTCCACCCTGCCTTTCCCTCTGTCCCTCACTCCAGGCTCTGACCCGCCCTTTGCCCCCCCTCCTTTCCACCGCCTTTGCATTCCAATCATTCTGCACCCATCCCCCACTTTCTTCTCTACATTTCTTATCTCTCTCAACCCCCCAACTGTGCCCATCTTCCAAGGCCAGCTTTTGTTCTTTGTTAAAGACATATTTTTCCCGCTCTGTAACATTTTTCTCAGCGCCATCTTTAAGTCCAAGGGGGGATGTATCTCCCCTTACTTTCTTTGCTACATCTCTGGCTTCTTCTGTTAAATTTTTCCAAAAATCTCTTGCTTTCTGTTGCCCCTCTGAGGGCAGCTCAGGGTTTGGGGTTTTAGGAGGCATATCGTCCTCCTGTGTCCCCTTCTGCTCAGCTGAGCTGCTTTCATCTGGAGGCTCTAAAGTTTGTGTTGTAGCACTAACTCCTAGTTTTGGGGTGACCAACAGACAGCTTTTTGCTGCTGTCCAGGCTTCCTGCTTTTGTCTAGCTTTTTTCAAGGCCTTAACGACCTTACCCCACGACTTAAAATGTTTCATATTACCAGAATCTACAGTTTCATTAGCCAGAGCTCTGGTACATTTCTCCCACACCTCAGGGTGAAGAATGTCCACTGGTCACTCTATAATACCCATCTGTAAAAGCTGTATAACAGCAAGCATAAAATCCTTAGATTTACAATCTACCCCCCACTGCTTATATAGTTCAGATACGACCTTTATCAGTGATTCCATCTTCGTTCAAGATGCAGGGACGTCTCCCTCACCAGGATTAAGTCCAGCTCTCCTGGTCGCTGCTTCTGTTTTTTCAGGGATTCCTCGCTTTCTGGGTTTTTTCCTGCTTTTCCTCCCAGGTTTCGGCACCAATTGTAGGTTTTCCAAGCAAGGCAAACACCCTGGTTCAGAAGCCAGCACGGTGGCCCCCCTTGGCCACTCGGACCACCCTACCCACAAGACATCAATGTGATGGATGGCGAAGCAATGGTGTTTATTGCAGGGGAATTTAACATTTTATAGCCTGGGGTAACTGTGTTACTCCCATCTGCTTATGTCACACTTAGGTGCTATTGGCTAATTGCAGAAGGTTTTACTATCCTAACAGAGAGGGGGTCTGCTAACTTTCCGTTACATCCCGGTGTCTTCCACTCCGCTATACCCTAGACTACAACAACTCAGCCTCAAGGACAGGCTGCTCCAGCACAGGAGCAGGGCCCTCTTTCCACAGGTCTCCCACAGGATCACAGCTTCCTCACAGACATCCACCTACTTCTGTGGGGGCTCCTGCATGGGCTGCAGGTGGATCTCTGATCTTTTTGATCAATTTTTTTTTTAAATCTCAGAGTATAATAAATTTCTTCTTTTATCACGGGTGATTCAAAGCATCTACAAATAATGTATATATTGTTTGAGTATGAATAAATCTCTGTTCAGGTTATTGAATTTTAGAGCACTTTTTCTTATGAATTTAAGGTTTTACATGATTTGCAATAATTTAATAAAATAGACTGAACTTTGAGGAAACTGCCAAGAGAAAAGGTCTGAGAAATATAGCTTCAAAGACCACAGCAAATGAAAGTCTGTCTTTCTTTTAAGAATATTTATTAAATACACAGTTAACTACATTCACTTTAACTTACTTTATTTTGCTTACTTTATCCTTATACTGTAGAGATGTAATTTTTATATTGTCTGTTCATAGACAATTAGATGATGAGGTTCATCACATTTGAAAGATAAACTACCTCTTTCTAACTTTGTATTTTTAGATACTTTTCAATATATATTTTTAATGCGCTGTGATGATCTTGTCCTGAATACTTGCAGATTTGGGAATCTGGTCTTTTTGGTTTTAATGGATTCTTTAATTTCAACTGTAATGTATCCATTTTTAATTTTGTTTGTTTGTTTGCTTGTGGGTATTTTTAATAAACCATCTGTCTGCAGACATTTAACAAATTTCTTCTGTAATTATACCAGTTATAGTAACATATCTGTCATCGTAGTATTTGTCATAGATCATGTAGGTGGTTCTTTTCTATAAAGAGAATGCTTAAGCAGAGAAACAGGAGAGACAGGTTATTTATTTAATTTCTGTTAATTTCTGTTGGCTTATTTACACTGAGAATATGACCTTTCCTTTCAAGTCTTAAATGTGTATTTCAAGGAGTAGCCTTGGTATCCATACAGGAGTGGCAGCTGTTACATAACCCTCATCATGACTTATCTTTAAGTGTATTGGAAAGCCAGCTTTAATGGACCTCCATCACAGCTTGAGACAAATTGAGAATTGCAAGAAAACTGCAGTAAAAGAATTTTCCATTAT